TTCCCGAGGAGGCTGAAAGGCACATACATGACTGGATAGTTGGTCGCCAGCTCGTTGGGTTTCCTGTTTGGCCAGTGGCGTGTTTAAACCGAAAAAGATCACACTGTTGCTCGACCAACCTGGCTCGGGTAAATAAAGAAAGACTTACCATTTAGTGCGGAGAATTAACGGACCCGAGTGGACTCGAACCCGCGACAACACCTGCTTCCCGTAGGGCCCTCAAAAAGCCGCTTTAACGACTTGAGCTGTCGGCCCTAAATGAAATGGCCAATCACTGCTCTGATTAATGGCTACATTAATCCTTCACTCTCATATATCCTGTTTGACTTTATGCAGTTTTCATAATATAATAATTTGCAGGGAACCTAGCCTTCTTTCTAGCAAATTTTTGTTGAGCCTTCGCTTGCTGACACTCTTACAAACAAGAAGCTTGAATGCGGCCCTTAACTGGCAATAAGCTAAAATCAATGTGTTGTTAAGTAAAAGGTTCCATTACTTTGTTTTCTTTGGTCTGCTCAATAAAAAAAAATACGTGTTGAATGCTGAAATCTCCAGCTGTAAGCACCTGTCACTCTTTATTTACCCGGATACATAGAAGCGAAGAAATGGTCACAATGCGGTAGTGGCCGGGAAACGGCCCTTATTTGACCATTTACCTTACATGTATAAGCGGATGATCTGCCGAGTGCAAATTTAAAATAGCATTATGAGTACAGCCCGCTTTACTTTATTTGGCGAACAAATTCTGCAATGCACTCTGTATGTGTCAGCATCATACAAACATTTTTCAAACGAGATCTCGAGCATCTTTGTAGTGTGCTCCCCTCAACCATATAGCAGTAGCGCAGTAGCATGGAGTTGAGGATCTACAGACCAGCAAAAGACACTAATTTAGCTACCCGCCAGTAAGACAACATTTACAACTGCCAAAATATAAGCAAGCCCTCTGTAGTCTATAGTCAGGGCTCGGAAGAAAAAAAAATTGATGATGCAAAATTGCAAATAATGTATGGAACTATATTGATTGACAAGACCTCCACAATCTCCACCCAATACTGTTCTAGAAGAAGAAAGGTGGGCCTATTTACTGTACACTACTCGTATCTATCGCTCTCATCTTCATCATCAAAGCGGGTCCCGTATTGCCATAATTATGACACACGCAACGATCGAGAGCCGAGTTCTGCTTGAGGTCGCCAAAATCAGCTCGTGGGATCAAGTCTGAAAAACAGAAAAAGAAATAGCGACTCCTTGACGCCCGACTCTGGTATGCGTGTGCACGAAGGAACGAACGCTCTTCCGGCTTCCCGTCGCCACCCGGAATCTCTTCAGCATTTTATTCGATAACATCGATTGCCGACCGGAGCTTTTACTCGACTACGCGTGTGCCAACTTGGAGTCGGCGAGTGTCCGGCTCGCATTGTTCGGAGTCGGCTCTAGCGAAGACTCGAGCTGTTCTTCGTTGGGTAGAGAGTTTACCTGGGTTCTGAGATCGCATAAAATACCGGTCGGTTACTATGCTGCAGTGGAAACCAAAATGACGAACGGGTAAAGGTGTGATGGTCATTGATGACGCAAGTTCTGTGGTGGAGAAGGAGGATTCGAACGGAGTGAACTACTTATATCTCCTGCAAAAAGCACTGACCAGCGTGAATGTCGTCATGAAGATACACCCAGTGATGATCTTTGCGGTACTCGTCGATATCAATCCGCAGACCAGCAGCTTTGGTCAACCACTTTTCTCACGACTCGATACGCAACAGAGGCATATGTTGTTGCCACCGTACGTATTCACACACACACACACACAGAGGACGTTTCCCTACACCAATTACCAGGCTCTACCAAGTTCAACTACAAGGCTAGTCTTCTTGCAAATGATTCTGCAAAGACTTGGGATGCTCTTGTCTCTATGGAGCGACGATTGTAGCACAACTACGCCAAATCAACGACTGAAAACATCCGCCAAGCTTTGCATCCAAACTTTTCAGTGGATTAAGTTCCATTGATAAGACAAGTTAAGAAAGCAAGAGTGCTCTGTGAGGCGCTGCGTCGATGCTATGTCGACTCGGTTTGTCACGACGATCGAGCACTGTGTTCGCGCGCGTCACAAGCCGTGGCAAACTTCATGGCTGTGCTTCACTATATCACTTTCAAACATGATGGCCACATTTGCGGCTATGGATGTCAAGCACTTTCGCCGTAGCAGTTCACAGATTGAGACAAACTGCACTCCCCCAGCGACCTTGTTTTGCTGAATTGCGTTCAGCATTAATAGGGTAGTGGCAGCATCTTCTTGGTGCTGGCGATGGATGCGAGCATCCTAAATGGAAATTCAGCTGATACCTTCACTTTTTCTAAAAGGTGAACCTTTTCCAAGGCCAGTTCTGCTCGGCGAAGCGGTTTCTCGAAATGCTAGATGGGCCGTACTACGACTCGTATGACCTGACACGGAGGACATGACAGACGTTGAAGACGACAATGTTGGACTTCAGCCAATCTCTTTACCGTCAAACCAGAAGAGGATTCTCCCAAGTTAACAACGCAAGACAGCGTGACAGCTGAACAGAACGCCAATTTTGAGTCTGGGACAACTGGGGTGTCGGGTTTAGTTACTTTTACGAGCTGAACGCGATGCCAACCAAGGCAATGCTGTGGAATCTACTGGGACGTCGAGCGGCAGGAGATTTCCCGCGAGATCAGGAAGACGTGGACCTAATTATCCCAATTTTCTGCCCGATGTGTGTTCATCTTGGTAAAAGCTACGTCGAATGAAGGCAGTGATGACTGGGAGTTCCCACAATCAGCTCGTGAGAGACTAACGCCTGCGAGTGTTCCAAGTGAACGAGGGGGAGAGTGCTAGACACGAGTTGTCGAAATTCTCCCCTCGCAAGATGATCCGAATCTATATGAGTCTACGTGAAACCAGTTCGAATTATCCGGCCCAGTCGTATCTCACTGGCAACGATGGGAGTAAGGATTCGTACTCGTTGTGTCTTCGAGGCATGTGTCGGTCACCCGACGAAATCTCCCTCACCGATTGGCCGTTTATGTTGTCACCGAAGATTTCGGAACAACTCGCAGATATAGCGCTGCATTATATCTAATGCGACGACGGTGGTGCTGCAGTAGACTGTTAGTCTTCACTAGTCAGCTATTCTCCAGCTGAAGTGGCTCTTAGTTTATTTTTTTTTTATGATATAATGCCTTCTATTTGAAAGTTTATGTGTGCTTAAATTAGCTCTAAATCTAGCTACATTTTTAATGCATTCATGAAGTTCGAAGTCAAGAATTGGAAGGTTTGCAGTGCGATATGTATTCTTCCTGTTACCGTCTTTCACAAGAACTTTTGGAGAAAAAAATGTTAAAGTTGTTAGTAACTGGTACCGCAATCAAATGATCGTTGCCTAACAGCTCGAAGTAAACTATTTGTGAAAATTCTACAAGAAGGACCGATACGTGTGAACAGAGCAGACGACAAAATGAGTGGAGCAAGAGCGGATGAAAACACCATAGTTTCGATGTATTGTGTGCTCCGAGAGTCAAAAGTTCAACCGACCACTTCAACTTGAGGTGAAAGTCCGCAGTTCTGAACTGAACGTCGACGTCAAGAAGAGACCGACGAACGTCCAGCAGGACTTGAGTCTTGTCCTCACTTTCGTTTTTGCTCGTTCGATTGAAAGTGCAGAATTACCAAACAATAAAAACACGAGAACCGTGTACAACAAAGCCAGCAAATGGAGAATACGGAGCCGCTCCCTCGCCACGTGAAGCTCCGGCATCGAGCATTGGCCTATGTTCGTCGATTTGGAAGACAACACCAACCAGTCAGAGCGGCAAGTCGACGAAGCTTCACCAACGGTAATGAAGAACGCAGTATTAACGACTCAACCGGACGACGCCCGATTGTTCGAATTGCAAGTAAACGGGGTTTCGTAGACTCTGGTGGGATTCGAATTGGGAACCGCAAGAGTTTTGAACAACTGAATGGCCTCAACTCCACACTAAAAGAAATCAAGCCCAACACACGAAGCAGAACAGCCAGTAAAGCGCGGTGGAAGCCCAACAAAACTCAAGAAAATCATAACAAACGTCGCCATCGTTTCCTTGCATCGCTTCAGAATCATGAAGAACGTAGATTTGGAATGATCTGCGGGTGTGGCGTCGAGCAGGATGCATTCGACCCCGACACCACGTCTCGCAATAAAGACCGCAGTGTTGATATGCACTCTGTCGGTGCCCTGGTTGCCAGGTTTGACAATGGCTTTGGCTTCACGTGTGCAAGCCCTGTAGCCTGTCCGCCACCTCTCGGTCTCGAACCAACGCGCACGGTCACTACAACGCTCCAGCTACGATCGCGAGATGGAAAGAGGAGTGAAAAATTCACGCTCAGCGACAATAGTGGTTTCTCGTCGACGGGGTTAAAACGTAAAGTACCATCAACGTCTTCGGGATACCCGTCTCATTCTCCTATCACACCACCATCGCCGTTCGTGAACGACTTCGCCCCAGCAAGCACATTGAAGAACACTCGAAGTCGTTCGCGCGTATCTGTCGGGTGCAACGGATGGTTCTTGAATGACGATGACCCGGCCATCGTAGGCTGGTACCGACGCGGTGAAGTCAAGCCCCACGTAACCACAATGGTATCTCGAGAAAGTGATGCGGATTTTGGCAGGAACTTGCTGAAACGATACAAGATAAACCCCCACGTTACGGGGGCGTCGCCCCCAGCATTATCACCGTCAGGGTCGTTACCAGACTTGAACTAGGGAAAATTGGCTTTAAAGTCGTACGACTCCTATCTGGTGATCACCTCCGGCGCAGCGTATGACTCTTATCGCATGAATTCCGATCAAGCGACGATGGAGCCTCGATGGGTTTAACAGTACATATCTAATGGGGAAAGTGGAGAACCGTCACCTAGCTCGTCATCTTGTACCATACGGCTCTCTTACTTGGCATTAGTTCGACAACGACCATCAACAATACCAGCGAAGCTTCAAGGGAAGAGCTTCAACTACCACCGAACCAGACCAGCTTCAATGTTACGTACTCAATGTTACATGTGCTGCAAACCTGCCAAGTTTGCTGACTGAGCTGGTTTCTGAGTTAATCTTAGTAAGTTGAAGATGGCACGAAATTAAGGAATTAATCGCATTAGTCTGGAAAGTATCCGGTTGCAAATTGCACGGAGCAAGTTGCACCTTGCAATCGACCCCGACGCAAAAATCTCCGATGGGGATGTACAGCCGTCAACAAACCGTATCTCGTGAAATCAGATTTGCAAGTGCATTCTGAGTTGGGGCGCCTATGGCACTTGCTGTATGGGGGTCCCTATGTCGGAAACTGTGGTGTCAAACAGGAGCACTTGCTCGGTAGATCGTCAATACTCCCACAGGCATTTAACATCACCTTCCACTTGGCCGCAGCATCATATAATCAAACTGGTATTGCACGTTACTCATCAATGAGCTTCCAAATGAAGTTCATTGGTGTCGGGTGAGATGCTGCACTCTATCCGCAAAAATGCCATGAGAGATGCGGAGCGATGGCGATGTGCCTTGATGAGCTGAGAGCGGACACTATAAATAACGATACAGTAGAATACCATAGAGATACGTCTGCTCTTCCAAGCGAAACTTCATGTTCATGTACATGTAGAGGCATTTTAGAGGAACCATACGGGCGCATTTTACACGTGGATACGCGCCAATTCAACCACCTCTTTCAGCAGATCCAGATCCAGGGGATTCACATGGTGAAACCTTCAAAGGCAGCTAAAACACGACTCCTCAATGATTTGCAACACGCCCACCGCATGGTGACTATGAATCAATTCCCACCGTGGTAAGCGCGTTAATCCGTGCCAACTTTTGCTGATGGGATTCCACGTCGAGATTGTCATCAAACTCGCAAGTTAGCATCACTTTGGCCTTGAGCTCTCCAGGGCTCATTCTGCATTTCATCTCCTGGCACTCACGTCTCCACTTTCGTCCCAAGAGCGTCAACGATGGCCAAGAAGCCGTTCTTCACCGCCGAGGACGCCAAGACGTCCTTCAACCTCTTCTGCTGCATCTACGGCATTGGAACGCTTGGTATGCCCGGCAACTTCGCCAGGGCTGGACCGACCATTGCCGTGATTGCCATGGCCTTCATGGCCTTCGCCAACATTTACTCGTCCGTGGCCATGTCCAAGGTGATGCTGCTCGCCCCCACGTCTGTCAAGACTTTTGGGGACCTCGGAGAATGGGCCATGGGCCAGTGGGGCCGTTGGCTCTGCATCATCTCCCAAATGGGCTCGTGTTTACTGATCCCGTGCGTGTTCCTCGTGCTCGGAGGATCACTGCTCGACGGTCTCTTCCCGGACGCCTTCGAGCAATCTACATGGACCATTCTAATGGCACTGACGGTACTGCCCGTGTGTCTCGTCCCGACACTCAAGGAAGGCTCGGGTGCTGCATTCGCAGGCTGCTTGGGCACTATCATCGCTGACGTCATCGGCGTCGGCGTCGTCATGCACGGTATGCGCGGCCACCCGAGTGTTCCGTTCCCGGAGCTTAAGTTCTCTCAGGTGGCTGGTGTCTTTGGCAATCTATCTCTTGCCTACGGTGCTGGTATCGTCATCCCGGACTTGCAACGCCAGCACAGTGACCCGACCCGTATGCCCCGCGTTGTGGGTGTCACGGTTGGCTTGATCTCGTGTCTCTTCCTGGTTCTCGCGAGTACTGCATACTCGGCGGTGGGATGCCAGATCTCGGGCAATCTACTGTTTACTATCTACCCGGACTCGGAGACTGGATTGACCAATCTGGGCTTCGCTCCTCGATGGGGCATCGTCGTGCTGGCCTACCTCTTCATGCAGCTCCACATCACCATCGCCTTCTCCGTCATCGCAAACCCGGCCTTCTACCTCGCCGAGCGTATTTTCCTGGGCATGCACAAGAAGAAGGCACACGACCTCGAGAACCCCATGAGCTACGTTGAAGTTGCCACTCCGAATGTTACACAAGAGGAACCACGACGCAGCTCCAAGATGTCGTACGTGTCGGTTGCTGACGCAGAGAACGAACATAAGGGCGACGTCGAGGCGGAGATGGCTGAATACCGTGGACTCAACACGATTAAGTACGTCGTGCTTCGTGTCATCATCATCGTCATCCTCGTGGTGTTGGCTATCGTTTTCAAGGACCACTTTTCCGACTTCGCCGACTTTGTGGGCGCGTCGTGCATCACGACGAACTGCATCCTGCTGCCGATCGTCTTCTACCTCATCAAGGCCTGGAAACGCTTACCCATGTACGAGAAGATCCCGGCCATCATTGTGACTATCGTGTGCTTTATTCTCGGCTGCTACGTCACGTACACGACCGGCAAGGCCCTTTTCGCACCTACCGAAAACGACGCTGAGTTCCCATTCTGTTCGGCTACGTACGAGAACACCGTTTACTACAACTACACTGCCGCGCACGAGTCGTAGGTACACTGAGCTCGTCTTCATGTAATGTCTGTATCCACCATGTTTTAATTGAAATACACTCTATTTCAATCTGATTCGCATTTTTCTCCTGTGCATACATGTTCTGTCAATAAACGTTAAGTACGCAGCAATCCTGTCAAAATCGTTCATTGTGCTAAGTTCACTCTAAAACTGTTTAAGTTCGCAGATGCATGATGTACACACAATTCGTACACCAAAACCTATCAAATTCTATTTAAAACATGTATCAACTATCGAGAACTTAATGTGGTCCACTCACCTGCAAAACGACTGGCGTTGGGCCTTGGTGGGCAGCTCGCCACCACCGCCTTTGTGTTCATTCTATCAGAACGGGAGATAGGAACCAGACCGAAAGGCATCCACCATGGTCAAGAACGTGCGCATCACTTACCGCCGCCGTCACTCGTACGCGACCAAGTCTAACGCCATCAAGGCTGTCAAGACCCCTGGTACGTTTTTATACAGCAGCAGCAGCTACTCAAGACGCCAACAGATACAGGAACCGTGTCGGACCTCTCTCTAGAACTGTCAGATCAACTGACACTTTCCATGTTGTGATATTCCTAAAAATTAGGTGGCAAGCTTGTTGCCCAGTACCGCAAGAAGCGTGCTGCTGGCCCCAAGTGCGGTGACTGCAAGCAGACGCTTAAGGGCATCAAGCACCTGCAGTCGAAGGAGTACAAGAACGTGAGCAAGACGCAGCGCACTGTGTCGCGCGCCTACGGCGGCTCGCGTTGCGCCCTGTGCGTGCGTCAGCGCATTGTGCGCGCTTTCCTGATTGAGGAGCAGAAGATCGTCAAGAAGGTGCTCATGGAGAAGCTCAAGAAGAGCAAGTCGGCTTAAGCGTCTCTTTTGATTTCTTTCGAGGGGGTCTTGTCCGAGGTCCTTTCTTCCCGTGTGGCTCGGTTCTAGCTTAATGCAAGTTTCATCGCCACGACCCGTTCAGCTTGCGTCAATAGCGTTGGTCTTGTTGTATTTGTTGCTGCTGCGAGGCTGGACTTGGATCTCGCTACTGCTGTTTTATGAGGGGCTATACAGGTTTTCAGATGCAAGCAGACAGCGAGTGATTTCAGGTAGCGAGGAAGGAAACTCGAGCAAGAGACGGACTTGATGCTGCGTTCGACGCCGCAGCGTTCATGCACCAGACTGATGCAGTATCCTTAGCCTTCACCATACTGTATCTTGAGGAGGGCTCTACCTTTCAGCACAGTCGGTCTGGTGCACTTTGTAGCATAGTTGGTCTGACCATTCAAAACGTTTATAGTCCACCACAGCATATAACTTACAACTGCCCTTCCTAATCAGAATGTAACCTTAAAATCCGACTGTATGTTATATCTTCTATCCAACGGTACACCGGTTTCTTTCGCAGTCCGCACGCATTTCACACCGCGCTTCCTGTCCAGGGAGGGGAGTCGTCGACTTCAACGCTCGCGATCGGCGTCTTCCCACGGCTCACTCTTGACACCAAGTACTGCATCTAAAAGCCAAGACTCTCCTCTATCTTCTCCTTCCTTCTACCGCCGTCAGCACCGCCTAAAAGCGGCACAGTCCGATGCAGTTCCAAGACCGAGAGCACGTCGAGGCATTGCTCGCCTCCCTGGTGCAGCGTCTGGACGTCAACGATGCTGCTACCCGGACGACTCGCGTATCGGAGCTGTACGCGGCTGTAGCGTCTCTCAGTCGGCAGCTGTCAGCTGAGCGCTTCGCCAAGGCCCTGGGCCAGCTCACCCCTCAGCTCTACACCTTGCTACAACGAGCCTCCGAGAGCGCGCAATTGGGCGCACTGCTGGCCATCGAGCGCCTCATCGACGTGTCTAATGAAGACCAATTCATCCGCTTCGTCAACTACTTGAGGTACTTTTTACAGCAGCCTCAAACCAGCAGGAGAGCACTACTGGCAGCTTCTTCAGCCATGGGGAAACTAGCGACCTCTAGTGTCAGTGGGACGCTCGTAGCGAGCTTCGTAGACTTCGAGGCCAAGAGAGCGTTCGAGTGGCTTCAAGAGGGACAGCCAGGCACTCACGCAGCCAGGAACGAGGCACTAGTGAGTCAACGACGATTGGCAGCGTGCTTCGTGCTGCGAGAACTGGCTCAGGCAGCCCCCACACTGTTCCATGTGAACTTAACCACCTTCTTCCAGAGCATTTGGGGAGCAGTGAGAGACCAGAAGGTCGAGATCAGAGAGGCCGCGACCAGCGCACTAGCAGCGTGTTTGCAGCTGATTACTAGGAGACAGACGCGACACAGAGTGCAGTGGTACTGCAAGGTGTATGACCAAGTGTTTGAAGGTTTGGCTCTGCGTCCCAGTGCTTCGGGATCGAGCTCTCCGCCTAGTACTGGCCAGACATTGGCCTCATGGGAGTGTGCTCATGGATCTTTACTCGTCATCGGAGAGCTGATCGCCAATACAGGACGATTCATGGTCCCGAGATTTCGAGAGGTGTGTGATACGGTGCTGAGATACAAGGACGCCAAGGAGAGACTGGTGAGTCGTGCTGTGTCGAGACTGTTGCCGCAGTTGGCGGAGTTTTGTCCGGGAGCTTTCGTGCAGTACTATTTGGATATCTGTGTGGCGCATTTGACCAAGCGGATCTTGGAGTATTCAGCGCCGCCGTCGGAGCGTGGCGTAGCGTTCTTAGCTATGGGCAGACTGTCGTTGGCTGTGGGTGATGCGTTGCTCCCTCATCTTCCTCCTATTCTGAAATTGGTGAAGGAATCGCTGGCGCCACATACTGGATCGAAACGCAAACGAGCTCGCAACAAGCTGTTCTGCGTCGAAACTCTCACATGTGTGGCCAATATGTCGCGAGCTTTAGGACCACGATTCGAGCCGTTCCTGTTCCAGGATGGAGTGCTGGAGACTATGATGATTGGCGGGCTTAGCGACGAGCTGATTGATTCTCTTGCCGAGGTTGTTGCCAGTGTACCAAGCGCGCTTCCTTATGTCCAAGAACGGCTGCTAAATGAGATCTCTGGCATCCTGCGTGGCACCCCGTTCTCGCTGGGTAGCGGTGGTGCCGTCTATCCACCTGGAAGTGGTGGTGTAGCAGGCAGTTCTACTAGTGGAGACGGCGGTGAGCTGACACTGGATGCATCGTACTATGACACTGCCACTGAAGCTCCTCCCGTAAAGCAAACATCCGTCCAAGCACTGTTTTCGTCGATGAAGCGAGGCTTTTCCAGTGCTGAGGATGATCCGTCCAGTGGGAGTGGCTCATTGATGATCAAGGGCGAGACGGGCGACGAGATTGATACGATTTTGTTGTCTTTACGTACGCTGAGCTGCTTTGACTTCAGTGGCAGCTTCTGTCTGTTGCCATTTGTGCGCGACTGCGTTGCTTTGTATCTGAAGAACCCGGATGCACGTATTCGCAAGCAGGCAGTGATCACGTGTAGCAAGCTCCTGCTGCCATCACCTGATTCTCCAGATACAGCGTTAATGTCTTCGTGGAGACACGTGAAGAAGCGTGGACCCAGCGGACGTGTGATTGATCTTGTGCTCACACAACTGCTTCAAGTTGGTATCTCGGATATGGATGTGGCCGTACGAAGGAGCGTTGTGGAGTCCTTGGATGCACGCTTCGATGAGCTGTTGAGTCAGGAGACGCACTTAAAACTGATCTTCCTGCTGTTGAATGACGAGAACGCCAATATTCGCGAACGCGCGATGCAATTACTGGAGCGCTTAGCGCCTCGCAATCCGGCTTTCGTGATGCCGTCATTGCGTCGTGTGATAATCCAACTGGTCACAGAGTTACAGCACACGTCTGATCTTCGAATGCGCGAGGACAGCACCCGTCTTCTGGGACACCTTATTCGTGGTGCGCAGCATTTGGTTGACCCGTACGTTGTACGTATCCTTGAGGTTCTTCTACCGATTCTTGTACGTGGCAATGCCCCATTGACGATGGCAGTCTTGGTTACTCTTGGTGAGCTGGCGTTGGTGTCGCGTACGCAGATCGCTGCATACGAACGCTATCTCTTCCCGCTTATCATCCACACACTACAAGACCACTCATCCATTGAGAAGCGACAAGTGGCGTTGCAGACATTAGGTCAACTGGCGGGTAGTACCGGCTGCGTGGTTCGTCCGTATCTGGCGTCACCCAAGTTATTGGAGATCTTTCTCAGTCTGTTACATCACAACGTGGGCAGCCCGTGGTCTCTGCGACGTGAGGCAATGAGAACTATCGGCATTCTCGGTGCATTGGACCCGTACAAGTACAAGCTGTGTATCTCGAGAGCCTCGTTGCGACAAGCTAACGAAGTCGCGTCCACGACCGGTACATCGGCGACTAAGGAAGAAACGGAGAAGAACGCGGACACTGCGCCACTCGGCCTGTCAAAATCGATTGCTGGCTCTGCGGCATCACAATATCCAACGTTGGAAATCGACTTAAAGGCTTTGGGCGTAACGATCAACCTCGCAAGCTTCGACCGCAAGGCAACGAGCGACGCACTGGATGAGAAACAGCAGATCGAGCTGCAATTGTTCACTGCTGCGCCTATTGGAACCAGGAAAATTGACGCCGGTGCAGGCGCTGGCACGTTGGGTATTGGCTCGCAATCCTCTCATCCTATCAGTGGCGCAGCTGGAGTTTCTGCAGGGGCTGCGTCGTCTTCGCTATCCTCCTCGTCACGGAAGAAACGGCAGATCGGCTCGATCGGCATGAGTCTAAGTGACGATTCCTTTGACTTCGAGAGTTCGTTGATGGACAACGAACTGGAACTGGATCCCACTGAATTGTCTCCAGCGTCGGAGGCGTATTTCCCTACGGTGGCTATTCACGCGCTACTGCGCATTCTACGCGAACCATCACTGAACGCTCACCACCACGGCGTCATCCAGGCCATCATGTTCATCTTCAAGAGTCTCAGCACGCAATGTGTGCCATTTCTCAAGTATATCTTGCCGCCATTCTTGCGGGTTCTTTCGCGTGGTGAACCGCGACTTCGCGAGTCGCTTTTCCTGCAACTCACGACGCTGATCTCCATCGTCAACGCACACATGAAGCCATTTTTCCCGCCGATTATGGTGCTCGCGCTGCGGTTCTGGGGGTCGCATTTGACGCAGATTGTACGTCTCGTAGAGAAAATCTCGCAGGCGGCGCCGCACGAGTTCCGTACCCAGTATTTCCCCAAGTTACTGCCTAAACTACTTGAGGTGCTTCAGCCGCATTTCGGATTAGGCGGAGCTGCCGACGGTGAGCTTGCTGGAGCTGGCGCAGGTGTAAGCGGAGCAACACAAGGCTCTGCAGACGGTGTGAGTGTTGTTGGGGGCAGTGGAGATCATCATGCACAAACAGGTGACAGCACGTCGGGTGGATCCAATGATCAGGTGTCCAGTACCTACGACATTGTACAGAATGGCAGCGCGGATGGCACTGCTGCCGTTGCAGTGGCAGCGATCCAAGTGCAAGTGGTGCAGTCCTTGATTGTGTTTGGCGATGCTGTGGAGGACTACGTGTATCTGGTGGTGCCTGCACTTGTGCATCTCATGGAAAGCTTGGATACTCCACTTGAAGTGAAGATCACTACTGTCTACGCTCTAGCGCGTATATGTGTGGTTGCCAACTTTGAGCAGTATGCGGGACCAAGACTGCTGCAGCCTCTTGCACGTGTGGCATCGCAGGTTTCAGCCAAGGGGGCGTTCTTCTTCAGTCGCTCCAGTAGCAATGCTGCCGTCACTGTGAGTGGTGGCTCCCATGTACAAGGATCGAATGGAAGCGGATCGTCGGGCGCAGCAGCGGCACGGATTGCTACGTCCAAGTCCGAGGCTACACGTTTCTCCGAGGTGATGCTGTATGCCCTAGGAGCTCTGGTGTTCCAGCTGCAAGCAGAAGTCTTAAGTTTTGAGCCATTGATGCAGCAGATCATCGCGTCACTACCGTTCTCGCACCGCGGCAATCTTGCAACGGCTGCTAATGATACTGAAGGTGGCAGTCCCTCTTCATCACCACAAGCCATGGTACAACGGATCGCTCAGGCACTGGAGAGTTTGCGTCGAGGCGCTCGTGTGCCTCGAGCGTTCCTGATCGACCCGGCGTTTATGACGTCTACTCTACGCAAATTCTCCACCGAGCTACAGGCGCAGACTGCATCATCGATGACTCCAGCGGCGTCTCCACCGACAAGTGTTCGATTGCACGTCAACCAACAGAATCTGCGACGAGCGTGGGAAGCTTCGCAACGCAGCACGAAGGAAGACTGGCTCGAGTGGATGCGACGCTTCTCGATCGAATTGCTGCGTGAATCCCCCAGCGCTGCACTGCGTTCTTGCTGCGCGCTAGCCCAAGCGTATAACCCGCTGGCGCGTGCATTGTTTAACCCAGCATTTGTGTCTTGCTGGAACGAGCTGTACGAGCAGTACCAGGATTATTTGGTTCGAGCACTGGAGACTGCTTTCCAAAGCGACACGATACCTGCAGAGATACTGCAGACGCTGTTGAACCTGGCGGAGTTTATGGAGCACGACGTGGAGGCGCTGCCTATTGACATTCGAGAGCTTGGAGAGTTGGCGCAGAAGTGTCACGCGTATGCGAAGGCGCTGCATTACAAGGAGTTGGAGTTCCACACTTCGCCCAGCACGTGCATCGAGGCGCTTATCTCTATCAACAACCAGCTTGGTCAACCAGAAGCAGCCGTGGGTATCTTAAAGTACGCACAAGCACATCACAGTCGTGTGATCCAAGTGAAGGAGACGTGGTTCGAAAAGCTGCAAGACTGGCGCGCAGCTCTTGCGTTGTACGACCGACGACTGCAGTTCGCCAAGCAACAAGGTGGAGAGAACGAAACACTAGACATTGAGGTTTGCATAGGAAAGATGCGGTGCTTGGAGGCACTGGGCATGTGGGAAGAACTGAGTGCACTGGCTGCACAGGTGTGGGCTGCTTTGCGCTCACCAGAGCGTAGTCCGAGCAAATCTAGTGCCCCGCCGCCGCGAAGTCGCCCATTGTCTGCTGGCCGGACTGCATCGAGTAGCTCTGGTGCTGGCCGGGGTCTCCTTCGCCAAGGGAGCAGTAACTACGGTTCGTCTTCGTCGTTGGCTTCAGCCAGTGGCCCTCCGTCATCGTCGTACCAGCTTGGAGATGACCGTGGCGATGAAGGTAAAGCGCTTCGACGTGTGGCGATGCTTGGTGCTCGAGCGAGTTGGTGTCTGTCGCAATGGGACAGCATGACGCAATACGTGACGGAGTGTGCAGCTCAAAACGACAAAAGCAACGCTAATAGTGCGGTTATTTCTCGAGCTGCTAACGGTAATGGACAAGGCTACGGCTACGGCCACACTCACGGCCACGGAATCTTCGGAGCAGATGAAGATGTCACGGAGTTGTCGCTGTATGAGTCCGTGTTGGCCGTGCATCGCGGCAACTTCGAACAGGCAGTGAAACTCATCGATGTCACGAGAAAGACGCTGGATACGAAGCTTGGAGCTCTTGTGGGCGAGTCCTACAGCCGCGCATACCGCAGTATGGTGACTCTGCAGCAACTCAGTGAACTGGAGGAGGTCGTGACGTACAAGAAGCTGCGAGCTCAGATTTCTAAAGGTGAAGAAGCTGCTCGATACAAGCGCCACTTGATGCGTATGTGGCATGACCGTCTATCAGGCTGCAAGCGCGTGGTGGAAGTGTGGCAGCAACTGATTGCCGTCCGTGCGTTGATCCTGTCGCCACACGAAGACATCGACACGTATCTGCAGTTTGCCAGTCTGTGTCGGCAGTCAGGGAACCTCTCGCTGTCGCTCAAGATATTCACCAACGCGCTGCACGTGCACGGCGGTGCAGGATCCAATGGTACCGGCATCTCGGAGATGTTAAGTGTGGCTCCGTCCAGCTCAGCAGCCACTTCCTTCGGATTCGGAGAAAAAGACCGCAATCGCGTGGCCTTCGCCTACTTGAAGCACCTCTGGGCTGCCGGACAGAAGCAGGAAGCTCTGTCAGACTTGCATCGTTTGGTGGTACGTATCTCATCCATGGCTCGACATCGTTCCCAGCCTCCAGGTGGTATGGGTGGTATGCCGTCTCCCGCTCCAGCGATGATGCCAATGCGAAGCGAAGAAGAAGAGCTGCTTGTCAAGTGTCACTTGAAGATGGCCGAGTGGCAGTTGGCAGTGCACGACCAGCAGATCGAACATGTACCGGTGGAAAGTGTGCTGTCTTCTCTACGGTTATGTACTGAACTGGAGCCGCGTAGCTACAAGGCGTGGCATGCGTGGGCTTTGATGAACTTCCAGGTCGTCGAGCACTCGACGCACAGCCAGCATATCTCTGCGAACGCGACTGCATCGGCTGTAGCGGCTTCAGCTTCCGTGGCTCCCTACATTGCTCCAGCAATTGAAGGTTTCTTCCGGTCAGTTGCGTTGGGTCGCAGTCGTTGGGCTGCTAACGTACAGCAGGATATTCTACGTGTGCTGACGCTTTGGTTCGCTCACGGCCACCGCACCGACGTGCATGCAGCCTTAGAGAAAGGTTTCCGGTCCGTGAGTATCGAGACGTGGCTCATTGTGATCCCACAGCTGATTGCTCGTATCCACACGCCATACCCACGTATCCAGAAGCAACTCCATCGTTTGCTGGTGGCTGTAGGCAAGCAGCATCCCCATGCTCTCATCTATCCGCTGTCTGTAGCGCTCAAGTCGTCGGTGAGTGAGCGTCAGCAAGCAGCAGAAGCCATCATGAGCACCATGCGGACCAACTACGTGGAGCTCGTGGACGAGGCGTTGCTTGTGAGTCGAGAGCTCATTCGCGTTGCCATTTTGTGGCATGAAATGTGGCACGAAGGACTGGAGGAAGCTTCGCGGTTGTACTTCGGTGAACACAATGTGGACGGCATGGCGGAAGTTCTGCGGCCACTGCACGCCATGATGGAGCGAGGCCCAGAGACGCTACGTGAGGTGAGTTTCCACGGAGCCTTTGGTCGAGATCTACGCGAAGCCAACGAGTGGCTGCAGCGGTTCCTAAGCAATCGACGCAACGAATCAGACCTGAATCGCGCGTGGGATCTGTACTACCACGTCTTCCGTCGTATCAACAAGCAGCTGCCGCAGATCACGACGCTGGAGCTTCAAGTGGTGTCTCCCAACTTATTAGCAGCGAGAAACCTGCAACTGGCTGTGCCTGGAACATACCGTGCTGGCCACGCTATCGTCAAGATCGGCAGCTTCTTGCCAACTGTGGCAGTTATCACGAGCAAGCAGCGACCTCGTCGTATCACGATCGTGGGCTCCAATGGGTTGGAGTACATGTTCCTATTAAAGGGCCACGAAGATTTACGTCAAGACGAGCGAGTGACGCAGCTCTTTGGCCTGGTGAACGCGCTGTTAATCAACGATCGCAACACGTCCAAGAAGGACCTAAAGATCCATCGCTACCCGGTCATCCCGTTGTCTGACAACGCCGGTATTGTGGGCTGGGTGCCTCATTGTGATACGCTGCACCAACTGATCCGCGACTACCGTGAAGCTCGCAAGATCCTGCTGAACATTGAGCATCGCTTGATGCTGCAAATGGCCCCGGACTACGACGCGTTGACGCTACTGGAGAAGGTGGAGGTGTTCCAGTATGCGCTGGAGAACACAGCAGGCCAGGACTTGTACAAGGTGCTGTGGCTCAAGTCGGAGAACTCGGAGGTGTGGCTGGATCGACGCACCAACTACACGCGGTCTCTTGCCGTCATGTCGATGGTGGGCTACATTCTTGGACTGGGCGATCGGCACCCGAGCAATCTGATGCTGCACCGCTTTACAGGAACGATCGTGCATATCGACTTTGGTGACTGCTTCGAGGTTGCGATGGATCGAGAGAAATACCCCGAGAAGATCCCGTTCCGACTGACACGGATGCTGACGAACGCGATGGAGGTGAGTGGGATCGAAGGCAACTTCCGCTTCTCGTGCGAGAGTGTGATGGCAGTGCTGCGTGAGAACCGCCACAGTCTCATGGCGATGCTGGAAGCCTTTGTGCACGACCCGCTGATCAACTGGCGTCTGCTGTCGGCGACGAACGTGCAGGCTTCGAGTCACGCTGGCAGTTCAGTGGCGTCTAGTGTCGTGTCGTCTTCGGTAGTTTCCAGTGCGATGAGTATGGACAGCGAGAGCGACTATGAACCGTCTGAAGCCTCTTCTCATGGACAGTCGGAGTATTCGTCCGATAATTCTTCTCATGGACCGTATGATGATTCCTCACATGGACCATCAGAAGCTTCGTCGCATGGACCTTCGGAGGCCTCGACGCATGGTCCAGAAGAGGAGGCACCGCATCGACGTAGCGAGAGTATCTCGATCCCCGATCCGACACCTTCATCGACAGCTACACTATTGGATGATCGAGATGAACCTCGACCTGTTACCAGTAAGGAGAGGAAAGAAGAGAAGGAAGATGAGAAGAAAGAGAGCGATGGACCAAGTGCTGAGGAGAACAAGGCTGAAGATGCTGATACGAATACTCAACAAGGACAGCAACTTCCTCCGCGGCCTGCGCCACGTCAAGTCAGCGCCAGTTTGGCTGCTCCGCGTCAGTTGCCTCCACGACCCAAAGAGGAGACAGCGCCACCTCCACTACCGTCGTCGTTGTCGTCGCGTCCGATGAGTCTCAGTAAGTCGATCCCGCTGCCGATGCGCAAGCTTCCGCCTCGTGCACCTGCCAATCGTCTTCGCGAGGATACGATCGATGAGAACGAGGAGTCCAATGTCGTTGAGAAGATCGACTACACGACTACAAACCTGCATGCAGAGATCTCGTCCTTAGCGGCCAGCGTATCCAGCGTTGGCCACTCGAGCTTGAGTCGCAGTTTCTCCGTCACACAGGCTCAGATCCAGGCGCAGGCTCAGATACGACAGCAACGACAAGCTGAGCACGGCCAGACAACTCAAGGCGAGCGTCAGCCAGTGGCGCCCAGTACACCGCTGGGCCCCCCACCACGAATGGCTCCGGCCGCGTCGACCTCGTTTGTGTCTGTGACGGCGGCTGCGCACATCCCGCCGTCCTCGGAGACTGTCCCGCCGTCAGTGGCCAACAACGATTTGCACGCCAACCGCAGCGTCCGCGAACGCGAGCTGCTAAATGCTCTAGGACCCGAAGGTACCGCAGCGCCGCGCGTTGCATTGAACGAGAAGGCTGTGGCCGTCATTCGACGTGTACAGGCGAAACTGTCCGGCCGCGACTTTGAAGGCGACGGCGGCGAGCCACTCGATGTGAGTGCGCAGGTGCAGCGTCTCATCTCACAAGCCACCTCGCATGAAAACCTCTGCCAGTGCTACATCGGTTGGTGTCCCTTCTGGTAACTAAATGCCCTGCAACTTGCAAGCAAAATAAGATAAGTGTGCATCACTGCAACAAGCACGCGATCAATTATTCATCGCGAAAACATTGCCCAACGCTGTTGGGCCCGGTAACTGTGCTGGGTGATTCAATGCCCATCAAAATTCGGTAACCAACGTCGTTTCGTTGGTGATGAATTGCCAGAGAGATGGCACGAGGTTGTACATGATACTTGTTGCAAGTAGCAAAGCTGTATCATGGTTGCCTGACAGCAACCCACGTGTGCAGATGGTCTGCCAGAACTTCCGCGCACGTAAGTAAAAAGCAGAAAACGTTGAAATGGATTCCAAAGTTACTATGGATAATACAGCGTTCGCACCTCGTCCAGCAAACTTGGCCCATGCTTTGCAGCTGGGAGGATACAGTCCATTGGAGACACGACACACGCACCACCTCCCCTTGATTCAATGCTTTAGCTCCGTCCTTCGCTCTTACGGCGCTGGCGGAGCGATCGCTTGCGGCTGCAATTCAACGCCACGCGAACCGAACAGCGCCCGTTTCTCGATCTGCAAGTCCAGATCCAGCTTACGGTTTCGCAGTTGCTCCGCGCTCTTCTTCCTCTTGAGCAGAGGCCGGATCGGAAGCGTCCAAATGGATCCGCTCTTGCTCTTCGAAGAGCGCGTACGGCCTCGTTCTCGGCCACGCACGTTCACTGTCACACCCGTCGTGGGTGGCAGCGGGGCCGAGTGAGGGCGACGGGACGCGCGGCCGCTGGCAGCCAATGCAGCGACGGCCTCGGCTGGCTCACGCGGCTGGGATCTAGTAGCCGCGTTCTCGTTATTAAGCACAAGTGTGTCGCAAACGACACAGACCTTCTGCGGTTTCTTCAGACCGTAGAGCGGCACAGGACGGCGCGTGTTGCTCGTGCACTGCAGACAGCAACTCTCTCGGCATTGGCGGCAGTGGTGTCGACGCCTGTGCAGCGCCTGACCGAATTTCTTGCCACACACGTAGCATCCCGCACTCTTAGAGAATGGCGGGGCCACCACCACACCCGCGGCAATTGCAGCCGCTTCCCGCCGGGCGCGCTTTACCTGGCGACGACGGAGACGCACACGGTCCTTCTCGGCCTTGCGAGCCATGCGGATACGCGTCTTAGCTGCCTTCTTGGCCTGCTTAGCGGCCTGGCGGTTGCTCTTCTGGACCGCCTTAAGCGCCTGCTCGGTCTGTTTCTGCGCCTTCTCCTCCTGGCGCTTAGCCGCTTTGCGCTCCTTTGCCGCGCTCTTGCGCTGCGCCTTGGCCGCGCGCTCGAGCTCCTTAAGGTTGCGCTGTTGCGCCTTCTCGGCCTCGGTCTTTTTCAGCTTGAAGAAAGCCATCAGAGTGATGGTAGGCGGCGATGGATGGACGTAGGCTCGAGCCGGCAAATTGCCAAGTGAGAAGGAGGGCGGCCTTTTGTGTGGCTCGAGTGATGGAAGGCGAGCCGCCCTACACGGCAACGGTTGCCTGAGAGTGTACAGCGGGATCAAGGATGGGGGCGGACCATCACTTCAACATCAGCGGATGTATAAGGATATTAAATCGTAAAGGAAGTGAATGTCAATACTGGATAAGGCTTTTGAATTAAAGAAATATCGAGGGGTAGAAAAAAATATATTCTGAAAGGAGTTAAGGATTTCTTAGTTATCAGGCATCAGTTAAAAGGCGGATTTGGTCTTACCACGGAGACCAACGTGCCCCTCTATCGATCGATTCCTATGAACTCCGCCGGAAAACTAAATGGAAGACACTCGAGATGCATTGCATCACGTCTCTGATTCCAAGCGATGCCACGCATAGAGTATTCGAGCTTTGTACGGTACACGCATGACGTTCCACTAATTTTAGTGAACGTTACGAAGTTTCGTCAAGGTTTTCACGTCTTGAACCACGCTCACGTCCTTTAGTCGAGCCCAGTTCCCCAAAATTCTGCATCTCCTACGCCACTAACGATCAAACTTACATGTTAACTCGAACATTCACGCGGTTTATGCCGCACATCGCAGCAAGCAACATCGTTGACATTCCCATTCGCTTGTTACTCGCCCCGAAGGACGACTACGCCAGTGGCCTAGTCGATTTTAAAGAATTTGCGATGAAGGACAGAATGCTGGAGAGAATTCTGTTGGTAACTGACGCGTAATTCGATACAAGAAACGAGTTTTTGGAGGGTTTTTAAACGCTCCAAAAACTCACCAAACAGCGATTTTTGAGGACAGTTACGGCAGGTTCGGTATTCCCGGTGAGTGCGGGCAATGACGAATATTCGGTCTGCAAGTCTTGGCAAATCAGGCCTAAGCGGTTAATCATGGTAGTTATGCTGGCGTATCGGATTTGGGTAATCACTACATGGAGAAACCTTTGGAATCACACAAGAGATTCTCTCTATTCTGTAGGACAAAGGAAAGAAGCAGGAGATGCGGTAGCTAATGCATACGGGGTCTCTGATTTGGTAGTCTTTGTCGCCGTCCTGGCTGGAGGAGTCCTCGTGACGAGGACGGTATGAATAACATTCACTACGCCCCGAAATAATCAAAAGACTAGTCGTTAGAATCAGTGTGAACCGCAAGAGAAAGCGCTACGCATGAGCATCATCAACACCATTCAAGTGCTGCTAGAAAGTCAAAGCGCATTAAATTCGCCACCAAGACTCAGCTACTTACTTTTTGGGCGCTATACATCTTCGTGATCACCACTATGACCTGAACAGTCGAACGTTCATCGATTACTCAAAAACTAGAACACACCATAGCTATGCAGAATCGATCAAATCTCTGACTTGTTCGTCGATCGGTTAATGTGGGACACCGTTAATGTCCAACTACGCCAACGTAAAGTTGGCGAAGCCAGCGACAATCACAGTAAAACCCTTACTTTTTATTCGATCACACTCAAAATCCAGACATTTATGTTGAGTTTTAAGCTTCTGGGCCACAACATCATCGGTTACCGAACATTGTAAACGATCACCGCTTCAAATCAATACCAGTGCAAAACTCTTTAGCGTCGCTTAGATAACGCCACTGCCGTCGCCACAGTCAGACCACCAAGCAAGATTGCCAGCAAAGGCGAGTAGTCTGAGTGCTTTTGTGGCAAACCAAGCCAGTGCGCAAAAATCCCGTTGAAATCGTTCGAGTACACCGGCTTGTTGCGTTTCTTGGACGTCTGCATGTTCTCAATATCTCGCTGGATCATCTTGGCTGCAATCGGGTGGTAGAGCGACTTGCACTCATCGAAAATCGCAGCACCGCGTTCAACGCCCAGCGCCGCACACAAGTCTCGGAAGAGAGGTCTCACGAACTTCATACGGCCCTGTTCCTTTAAGAATTCGACAGTACGGTCGAGCACGCGAAGATCACATGAGCGGAGAGACAACGTGAACCAACGGAAACGCAGCTCTGAGTTGTGTGTCGTACTCAGATGATGGTGGGCGAACGCGTCAATAGCGTCCAAATGGGCCTCCGTGAGTTTAGTATGACTACCAGTCTGTAGCAGTAGCAATGTATCCAGCAGCAGAATCCACAGCGAGGCCGGCCATTTACGCAACACACTCGGTGCCAGGACTTTAGCCCACTTCTCTTCATCAATTGCTGTCATCATCTTCTCTCCGAGCGCTCGAACTTGACTGATAATCGACGTGTCGAACTTGTTTTCGATCAGAGGCATCCCCGTTGAGAAGAACCAGCCGTCCCAGTCGATCTGGCTGAGCCATTCAGGGTACGCTGCAAAGTGTTTCTCGAAGAACACACGGAAATCTCGAGAAGTGAGGGTCTGGAACTTGAATTTCTGGATATAAGCCTGAGCGAACAAGTCGAACTCGTCAGACCCCACAACAGTCGACAAATAGTGCAAAAAGTTGAAGCCCTTCTCATAAGGTACACGTGAGAACACATCGTCCGGGTCAACACCCTCCGTATTCGGTACCAGTGCTGTATACGGGTGTGAAGGCCCGAAAGACTGAATGGCTTCAACAAGACCACGCATGCCCAGAGCAGCCTTGAGGTCGTACGTCTTGGGGTCATTGTGGATCTTGGCTACAATCTTCCGTTCGAGCCACACCGTCCAGCCTTCGTTGAGCCAGAAATCACTCCACGTCGCATTCGTCACCAGGTTGCCAGTCCATGAGTGGGCAATTTCATGTGCCACAACGTCAGCCAACGATCTATCGCCGGCAAGTAGCGTTGGGGTCACAAAAGTTAAACACGGGTTCTCCATCCCTCCATAAGGGAATGACGGGGGCAGACAGACCAGATCGTATCTCTTCCACAAGTATTCCTGTCCAGTAATCTCCTCCGCTGCCTGTAAAAACGCCTCAGTCTGTGCAAACTCGTGAGCTGCTCGAGTGACAACCCTCGGTTCGGCCCACACTTTCGTTCTCGGGCTCAATTCGACGCTCTCCATGCGTCCAGCGGCAATTGCCAGGAGATACGATGGAATGGGTACATTTTGTCGGAAACTCCACTTTTTGGTTTGCTCGTGATCATCATTCTTGATGTGGCCATGAGCAATTGCACTCATAAGTACTGTACACCATTGAGGCACTGTGACAGTTGCAGAGTATGTCAACTTGGCTGCTGGGGTATCGGGACACGGCACTACACTGCGCGCGTGGATAGCTTGGCATTGAGTGAACAGGAACGGGTGCTCCTTGCCTGCAGTCAAGGACGGAGCGAGCCACTGCAGGCCGCTGGACTGCGCTGACGTGCTGTAGCTTACTCGGACGGTGGTGGACAAGCTGGAAATGGGTACACTTAGTGCACGTCCGAACACAGAGTGTTGATCACTCAGGGTGAAATCGTCGACATTCACTCCGTCCACTGATACACTGGCAATACTCAGAAATTGCGTATCGAGAATCAGAACGGGGGACTTGGATGTGCCCGTGTAGGTGAACGTGTACTCGGCGAATCCCTCGAGCTGCTGACGCTCAAAGTCGATGGCTAACGTCCATTGAAGATGGCGGTACAGCACCTCGTCCAGGTTCGCGAACGACTGCGAGCGCAGCGAGGGGGAGGCTACAGAAGTAGCCATAACGACAGCAACGACGAAGATGCGATTTTGGACTTTGATTGGCTCATCAAAACAAATGATGTGACAGACACCAAATATCAGAATTAATCAGTGTACAAAACACCAAGTGTAGCCATGCCGCGAAAGGACGCAAAACCTGCAACACCTGCATTGTTACATCTTGGTGACGATGATCCCCCCGCAAAGCTCACTAGTGAAGTACAATAACCCGATCCTTGTAAGTTCTAGCAAGGATAAGGCACTACTGAAAGGTAAAAGGCCTGGCGCTACCAAGTTCGGAAACCAGCCGCCGAATGGTGACTCGAATGGATCAGGGGCTCCACCAGTACTCAAGCCGACGGTGTTCACCGGCAGTAACACTCACAGTGGTAATCCTACGGAAGATATACTGAATTCGATCCTACCACCGAAAGAATGGACCGAAGACGGACAGCTGTGGGTACAATATGTGTCGAGTACCCCAGCAACAAGACTGGATGTGGTGAATCTGCAAGAGCAGTTGGATCTGAGACTGCAACAGAGGCAGGCAAGGGAGACCGGTATCTGTCCCGTTCGAGAAGAACTCTACGCTCAGTGCTTTGGTGTGTTGTATTATAATTGATTTAGGTGGGTTTTAGAACGTTCTAATAGCTCTTTGGTACGTGTAGATGAGCTGATCAGACAGATCACGATCAACTGCTCAGAGCGAGGATTGTTGCTGCTACGTGTGCGTGACGAGGCACGGATGACCATTGCTGCTTACCAGACGCTGTACGAGTCCAGCATCGCGTTTGGAATGCGTAAAGCGCTTATGGCTGAGCAGAAGAAGATGGAAGCAGAGCAGCAGATCCGCACCCTCGAAGGTGAACTACGAGACTTGACGTCGCAGATTGAAGAGCTGAGCACGAGATGTGAGGCTGTGGCACGTCGCGAGGAGGAGAAGAAGGCTCAGGATGAGAAGAAACATCAAGAAGAGGTGGAATTGCTGCGTAAGAACAACGATCAACTCAAAGCGAGTCTTGAGAGCATGTTAGCTGCTCCCAAGTAGAGTCCTGATAGATGATACGGGAGGTTTGGTTCTATTAAATGCATTTAAAACTTTTCTATTCTTCTCTTCTGCCTCAAAACTACTCTATATACATCTTCTTGTTGAGGTTAGTTGGGTAATCTCTCCGAGACAGGAACCTCGATAGGTAGGAGGCCATCGGGACGACATGAGCCGTGTAAGAGAGCTAGCATGTGTTGTTCCGCGCCGTCTGCCAGTGCTCCAAGGTGATACCCTCCTTCCAAAACCGACACAAGTCTCCCATCACAGCATTCCCAGGCCAAAGTACACAACTCTTTCGTGATCCAGTAAAAATCGTCGGCCTCCAGTTGGAAATCTGCCAGCGGATCACGCGATGAACCATCGAAGCCCATGGATATTATCAACAATTGCGGACAGAACTCTCGCACTCGAGGAAGTACTGATGCGGTGAATTGTTCACGGTATTTCTGAGAAGTACAGCGTGCTCGCAAAGGAACATTTAGCAGATTCCCGTGCTTGCCCTTTTCACAGGCAAAACCCGAGCTTGGGAAGCACGGAGCTGCCTGATGCATCGACACATAGAGCAGTCTCGGTTCTCTTTTGGCAATATCCTGTGTGCCATTGCCATGATGCACATCGACATCCACAATCGCCAATCGAGTCAGTCCATGCTTCTCAACTGCATGCAGTGCAGCCACTGCGACGTTGTTAAACACGCAGAAACCCATGGCTCGACACCGTTCTGCATGGTGTCCAGGCGGCCGTACAGCACAGAAGGCATTGCGGATCGCATTATCCGTGTTCATGACTTTATCCACCGCCAGACACGCTCCACCCGCTGCAACTCTCGCCGCTGCCAACGTGTGTCTCATGAGAGTCATATCGTCTCCCAGTTCCATGTATTCATATTGCTGATAATACTCCTTCTTGCCCTGAATAGTCGGGATCCTACTAGCTCTCGGACTAGCCACATAATCCTCTGTGACTCCATTGAAGCGCTTCAACATGTCCAGTGCGTTCATGCTGCGCTCCACCTTATTGCTCATACCTGTCACCATATCCACGTACACCTCTCCGTGTGCACGTTGTAGCTGTTCATCTGTGGCTGTAGGTAGCACCATCTCCGTTTGTAGTCGCGGGAATCTCTCCCTTATGCGTTTTAGCACAGCTTGCACGCGTTCAGGTCGTTCTACCCGTCCAGGAATGCGGTGTTTTAGACAAATATCGCTGGAGAGCAACAGACTGCGTGACCCATACAGCATTGCGGTGGCTATGGAGTGCCAGGCGCGACATACGAGGAGCAGCGACGCACATTCGCGAGACGTCAGGAGGCCCGAGAGCAGCAGCACGCGCAGCATCAGAAAGTGATGGAGGACGGATGATAGGCATATATTTATAGCTGCGTGTTTGATCTGATTGGCTGATAATCAAAAGTGAAATTTACCGAATTACATTTCAGTAAAAAAAAAAAACTGCAGGAGGCGGATATTTTACGTAGAGATGGGGCCGTATATCCGCGTGAAGAGAAGGAACCAGACCGTGTTCCTGGACGTGCAGCTGACCGACTCGTTCCTCAGTGTGAAGGAGAAGCTGGGCTCCATCTTCCATCTGCCACCCACGAGTATCCAGCTCTGGCAGGGACTTAACCAGGTGAGCAGAGCAGAAATATCCGACGTAATTTTTTTTTTTTGGTGGATATTATTTACTAACTTAATAATTGTATTTACATACTTGCCAGAAAGAGGGCAAGGAATTTGCAGACGCCGCAACGCTGGCGGACCACGAGCTACAGAATGATGCGGTGATCTACATGTGCTGGAAGAAAGAGAGTACGACCGGCTTTAATTCGTTTATTTTGCTTATTGTGAACTTACACATTTATTATTTTTATGATTTGATAGACTCTGACCAGTGGGAGGAATTGAGTGTTACCAAGGTTGAAGCGATAGATGCTGGAGATGTCTCGGCTGGTGGATCTGCAGGAAGCGGGGCGAAGGCCGAGTAAAACTGGGCTGTTGAGATTTTTTTCATTTCAAGTTTCGAAGAAATGAGCTTCTTCAGCAGCAAAGTATTTTTCAGCAGGAACTCACAGATCAAGTGGACAATTAGTAGGGTACCTCGACAAATGCATTCTAATAACACTACTGAAGTGGAGTATATTATGGATGCAGTGTCATGTTGGCGTGAGTGTCAGAGCAGGGAGAGCAGGGGTTACTTACGTACTGTGGGCAATTGGTCTCATTATGGTGAAATCTCGCAACATACAAGATCCAGCAGAGGGACTGATTCATGGCAACCGTTAATAAAACAGATAAGTCTAGTTGTATTACTTGATAACTCAAGACCATTCTGCTAAATTTCGTCAACTATTCCTTAAAGCAGGAGACTCAAATTGAATTTGCCATCCTCACTTCGAACCCCCCAAGTTCCTTATTCCACGCTCGAAAACTTGTTCATCCCTTGTGTTTGGCGATTGCTGCCGTTGTTCGAAACCTTAGCGATCCGGGATCCGAACTGGATAGCCCGCTTCGCTAGTCCAGCGCAACTTCTAAGTCCAAGAGTCCTAGCTACAAGACGCAATGCGCGTTTGTCCCCAACACCACGAGGCAGTTCAGCATCACAGAGACTGGAGACTGGAAATGTGGCAATAGTCGACACCACGTGCTCGTCAAGGAATGGGAAGCGAGCTTCTCGTCCGTGTGCAGCAATACAGCGATCGTCACGTCCAAGATTACGCTTCCAGATCCGACCCAGATCCATTTGAAGTTCAGCTCGCAGCGCTGCTTCTCCTCCATTGATCAGCGTTGTGCGGTGACGTCCGTAGCCTGCGAGTTGCTCGTCTGCGCCAATACCCACCAGCACCACTCTCGTGCTAGTCTGATACTCGTACGATGACGTAGATTTACCATTAACTGCCGAAGTTGGAGCCGAATTGGAGAGCTGGTTCACTTGATCCTGCTTGATGCGATGCACCCGACAGCAGCGATTTTGCAGCGCAATAGTACCAACTATCGGGTCTTTTTCTTCACGCTTGGTCTCTAGTAGATTCAATAGAAGATCAATATGAGCTTCGGACTGAAAGCCCATGGACACCAACTTGGCACGACAACCCTGGGCTTCTCTCTGGTCAACACCCTCGCCAATGTCACGAGGGATTATTTTATCCACAGCTCGTTGTATCTTGAAGCAGCAGCTCTTACATACACCAAGTACACATCCACTCTTCCGCTTACGACCGCAGCGGTATACTGGGCACAGGGTGTCGTTGGTAGTCTGATCAAACAGTCCAAGAGCTGCAACCTCCGTCTCTAACTCACGAAGATCAGCTCTCTGAGGATTCAAAAACGCATTCAGTTCTTCTAACGTCGCGTTATCTGTGGTTTTAGATTTTTTCAACTCTCCCTGACCACGTGAAAGAAACCAAAACGCTGCGCCGATGTTGAAATCCATGTGAGTATCACAAGGCGCCATGAGCGCCAGCACCTCGTGTTGCGTACTCGAGAGCTCTGTCCGTGACACATTTATTTTGACCAGATTCCACTGACGATCTGGGAATAAAGAGCAAAGTTCAGCGTGCGCTAACTCAGCCGCACGACGATCGGGTGAGGCAAATCCCGAAGTCTCATCGAAGCAGACTGTCAGCAGGTCAATAGGTTCGCTTTTGGGAGCATGAAAGTGGCTCAATGCTGCGAGAACCACGGAATCCAGTCCTCCCGAGAAGAGCACGGCCACTCGAACTGAAGACATCCCATCTATAGTAGATGTCGATGGAATGGACCGTACTCGGACACCAACAGCATTGCTGAGCGCTAGTAAGAGCGCACATGCAGAGGATTGCAGCGTCTCTGCATCCTGTTGAGCGATTAGTTCTGGACAAGGAAGTCTAGCACCGAAACGATCCAAGACGTAGTCTGATGTCTCCGTGGGTACCGTGGGTGTTCGGACGATGGGAGAGTACGGATGGAATTCCATTCTGTACGATGGTTTCCCTTCAGTATTCGACTGACAGGCTGCCAGATCCAGCACGTAGACACCAGACGCAGGTAATTCCTGATATTTCGACAAGTCTCCATCATTCTCTCCGATCGCCACATTGCTCAACACAAAGCGAGTCAAGTCACTCTCTGAAAATGATGTCGACGTCACCTCCGTCCCCGCTAGATTCGCAACTATGTCCACCCCATTGTCCCCTCCCCACCTTCTGTACAGCAGACTCCTACGTCCAAACCGATCGTGAGCAAAATACACTCGTTTCATCTTTTCATGTAGCCATGTCACGGCAAAAGGCCCACGCACACTCCGAAGCACGGTTACCACTGGGTCACTGCTC